GTAAGTCTTCATTCATGTCTTGAATTATTTTCTAGATGAACATTAAGTCCTCTTCCATTGTTGTATAATCTGACCGAGTATTCGTCTCTTCAAAGAGCTCCCACACCCTCGTATGTTGAATGACATTAAATTCATTAGATTTGTCTTGTTTTTTCCTCCTATCCATCTTTCCTACTTTGCCCTTCCACTCCCCTAATTGCTTCCACATAAACCTCATCCTTTTTCTCACTTGAAATACATAGCTCAATAGTTTTTTTCCACATATTCTCTGCTACTCCTTTATCCAAACCTTATGAAAATATCTTGTTTCCTCTCCTAACATCTAAATCAGTCATTGGTTGGCAGCATAAGATGGACCCCCCTAAAAAGTGTGAAAACAAATTATTTGTTGTTGATGATGATGGTAAGTTAATTCTCTTCGATTTGAGGATTTGATTTTGCTTGTTCTTATTTTTCTTGGAATGAGCATTGTGAAATATGATATTTTTTTCTTATCCCTTGAGTCTCATCACTATCCTCTTCTTTTACTTTATTATCGTATCTATATCCCATTCTTTTGAATTAGGATTTTTCCTCGTTTCATTCTCTGAGCCCTCATATTTCCTTCTTCTAATTAATTCTTGCTTCTTCTACTCGGGCTTCTAACTTTTCTCCCCTCCCTTGATATGACCTTTTGGAGCCGAATTTGTTGGACCTTGTACATATGATCTGCTTCCTTCTAAGAGCTATGACATGGATATCACTTAATAACAACTTGCCTTTGACTATTACATTTTCTTTTTCCACTACTACAAATAATATATTTTATGACAATATTTTCACCTCGCTTAGCAAAAACCCGAGGTATAATTCTTTGACAAGTTTTTTTTCACCTCGCTCAACAAAAACCCGAGGTAGATATTTTATGACAATATTTTCACCCCGCTCAACACAAGTTTTTTTTTCTTTAAAAAATATCATTTATTCTGTCGATTATAGTAAATAACCGAGGTGTAAACTAATTTAGGATACTTGCTTCGAATCCCAACAACTGCGTTTATGTTTTTATTTCAGTAAAACTGACGTCTTCCTGATTATTTTATTTTTTACTTAAATATTAATTACTTTACTCCTTCAGTTAGTTTAATAACCGAGGGGGTATGATACCCGAATTTAACTATAAAAGGATTTATTCAGTTACTTGTACTCTAAATCTAACTTACTTACGACCGCTCCATACTCATAAACATCATTCTTTGAGATGTACTGTAAAACAAGAATATAATTTAGTTCTATGTTGTTGTTCTTCTAACATCAACCTTGAACAAAACATTTTTCTGTTCTTGCAATGTATCTCACATAATTGTGTTGTTTTTGTTGTTGTTGTTGTTGTTTCCACCTCTTGCCAATGGTTAATGGTAAAAGAAAATATTGTTATTTTTTAGAATAACTTTCCAATGTTGTCAACTAAAGAAAACATATTCTATAATATATTGTTTTCTTTGGTTAACAATATTGAGAAATTTATTCCTAATCATATTGCAACTTTGTTGTTTCACAAAACAAGATCTTGACAATTTTGTTTAGAATATAGTGTTTTGTTTGATTATTGCAACACACAAAGAAATTGGTTAATGATAAAAGATTGAAAAAATAAAACAATACACATTACTTTCAATTTTTTTCCATTCACCTTGCCTTATTTTTTGCAATAGAAGTAATCTAATACCGCGGTGTTTTCAAAAACTGAAGGGAAAACTCCCTATTTTGTTTAATATTTTATTTTAAAAAGAATTTTTTTTACCTAGGGTTTTACATTCCATTGAAGGGTAAAGTAAACGAGTTTATTGAGTTTCTTTTTCGTTGATAAACAAAGCTTTGTCGTTCATTTATATAGGATCGACACTTTTGAAAGTGTCATCACATTAATCCACTAGTAATATTAGTGATCCGTGTGAAACTTTCATGACAGTCATTGAGAATACGAATGCCACAATATATATCTTAATCACATACAGTCTGAATCACAAATATTGGTAATAAAAACATTAGGAATAAAAAAAGTGAAACTTAAAGGAATATGAAAATAGTCTTTCTGATGAATTGTAAGAGAAGAAAATATTATTGGTTAAGAGTTTGTGTTCTTTACATAATCTCTTGTCTTTATACATGATAAATTAGTTTTCTTATCTAAACTTTGTTTAGTTTTCTATATCCAGATCAAATGAATGAGAAACCATTGAGAATATACTCTAACCACTACTAGAAAAAATATTTTTAATGTCAGACACAAAATGCATTTTACCTTGGCTGGAGTAGTGAGGTAACGAACGTCGTCATGAAAAGTAAATGATTATAACCTCGGTTATTTTAACACCGAGGGGTATATTTATTTACACATGGGTTCGAACCCCAACATTTGCATTTTATTATTTACAAAACTAGCACCTCATAGATCTCGATTTACGAATAAAGTGAGGGGTAAAATAGATTATTTTTTTATTAGAAATTCGTTACATTGTTTACACAGAAAATAAATAAAAATAATTTATTTCCAAACTTAAATGTTTACCCAGAATATTACTTTGTTTACACAAAAAATAAATAAAAATAACTTGCTTACCAAGTTAAATGTTTACTAAGAACATTATATTATTTACACAAAATATTGAAATAAAAATTAATTTATCCCTGAAGATCATAGGCTGGATCTTCGACTTCTTGTTATATGTGCAAGGTCAAATGTTTCACCTAACAAGTATTTGTTTCTGATATAAAACAATAAAAGGGTTAGAAAAAAGATATAAAAATAAATAATTTTCTGCTCAAATGAATATTTGAAAACACAAACCTTAAATCCAAATAATTTTCTGCACTTGCAATCCATCGCTAATGACAAAAGTTAAAGTGGAGGATATAGATAGTTTCAATAGCTTCATGACATTTCTTTATCAATTTTAGATATTAGAAAGCCTTTATAATAGAAATTTTTTAGGTATCACGCATATCACTAATGGTAGTTTATTGAGCATTGATAATAATGAAATGAACGACAAAAAATTGGTTAAGAACGCTAAGTTATTCCCTCGGTTTCTATAAAAATCAAGATGAAAATGTTTTTATAATCACATTATTTACATAGAATATTGGAAAAAAATAATACAACAAAAATATAATTTTGGTGTAAGAAGTTATCTGGTCTAAATATTACACGCATCCAATTTTTAAATAGTTATCTGGTCCAACCATTGAATGCATCCAACTTCTATTGAAAAAAGTATTTTTTTACACTTGCAATCCATCATAGAGAACTTTTACAAGCTTATACTTCCAACGAGTTTGAAGTGACTACATATAAGTTAGGATTAGGGTAAAATGTGTCTAACGAGTGTTTTTATAGTAAAATGTTACGTATCTTATACCTCGGTTATTAATGAAACCGACAAGATATATTATTTAGTTTACAAAAAAAATTATAATAATTAAAAATAGTTTCCTGAATTATTTTTTCCATCGGAGTTTTTGAAAAATCGAGGTAATATGTGATTTCTACTAGAATAGCATTGGAATAATTTCCACTAGAATAGTAATGATCATCCATATAAAAAAATACAACATATCTTTTGGATTTTCAAGGCGTTTGAGCTTCTCTGATTGTTTCACTTCCTATTCTCCACTTTATTTAAACATTATTCTTTGTTTCAACGTCTCATTTCCAACTCTTTGTGTCTTCAAACCTAGTTTCAAAGTCTTTTCTTTTCTTCAAAAATTTCTTCAACAACCTTAAATGAAAATCTTTTGTTCGTAATCAATGAAAAGTTTGTCGATATTGATTATTTGAAAGACAAAAGTTTTTATCCAAGAACAACTATTCGCAAACAAAAGTTGATTGGTTACTTTGACATTTTTAATGGACCCACCTACATTAATCTCATTAATTAGTTATGGCTAAATGCCTCCGTTGGGCCACCTGGTCATAATGCTGAGTTAATCCAATCCTATGCTAATGGCTTTCCTGTCACAATTACTTAGTTACTTATTGCTCAAACAATAACATGTGAAGAGGAAGATGTTTGTGTTGAACATTATAGATTCAACAATGTCTTTAAAGATCACATTCGCCTAATTTATGCAACGAACGATAATCTCAGTAGTCCCACTAGTCTATGACCAATTGGAAAAGTTTAATATCAACTTCTAGTGTCAAATCTCTGTCCAAGAAAGAAAAAACCGAAAACGCTTACCAGGAATGACAAGCATTTATTGTTATTTCTTACCGAGAACATCATAGTTAATCTTTCTCTTACTATTTTTAATTTCTTAAAGAAAATGATAATTATCTCTAAGGATGAAATGATTTTTCTCATATCATATGGAAGAATTCTTTCTGAATTTTTCTCAAAATTAAAAATAATTAATAGTAATACTATTAAAGTTGAATGGAGTTAGAAATTTAAATATGTGGATAGTGCCAAGCCATTGTTAAAGCTTTGGAAGGAGAAAAAACGATGGCATAGAAGAAGCTAACGACATACATCAACGGAGGTGACCAAACTTCGGTCTAAGCTACCCAACAAAACTCACACAAAAAATTTGTGTGAATTCTATTAGAAAAACTCTAATAGTCTTTAATGGTAGAAAAATGAATTTCACTAAGTAAAAAGAATAACCAAAGACTCACTTTGCTATATTTGGTTAAATAGTTTTTCCCATGTAATTGTCAATTGGGCAAATATAAATTTTAAACTTGGTCACCTATTAGATGAGAGATGATGTATTTGGTGACAAATTACAAGACCAATAAATTGAGTTGAATAAAGAATAAAGTGAGCCCCCCTTTCCTTTCTATTCCTCAGCAATTATATCACTTCATGTGTCTCTTGTTTCTCATTAATACATTCACACACTCATCACCTCTTCTCCCTCTCTCTCTTTCTCAAGTTTCCCCATCATTTCATTTCCTATCTCCTAAATCTCTCTCCAACTTCATCCTCCTCTCCCTTCTCTTCCTCCCCCTTGCAATGAAGACCTCTCTTTCTTCACTCACCAACACCCTCTTGTTCCTTCTCTTTCTCTTCTTCCTCACCTCAGCAAACTGCAGACTGATCCCTACCCCTACCTCCTCAAGAAACCACCACCATTGCAATTCTTTTTCCAACAGAACCTCACGTTCTTTGTGCTATAACCTTCAAAGAATACACCGTCACAATCTTGATCCACCTCCGACAAATATCGGGGTTGAAATTGATCCAAAGTATGGTGCTGAGAAGAGACTAGTCCCCTCTGGACCAAACCCACTTCACAACTGAATCACCATCACTATATCTATCTATCTATCTATATATACACACACTAAGGTAAGGTAACATTTTCACATATTATATTTTGGCATGCAGAAATATTTCTTTAACATTTCTTTAATTTCTTTGTATAACCAAACTTGTATTGTATCAGTAATATTGTAATGTTTCTTTTGCCCTAAGTATATAATGGGGCAATATATAGATTTTCCATTTCCATGTTTGTATTTGGTTTTCTTGGTCTTGGAATTAGGGCTATGATGAAGGTTCAAAATTTTGTAGAAAAAAAGACAGAATCTGAAAACAAGCATGGAAATGGTGAAAGAGAGAAGATGGTTGAACCTTGAAAGCAACGAGGAGGACCCCATGAGTTTCATTAATGAGGAGCCAGCTAAAGTTATAGGACTATCTATTTATGGTGGTTGCTCACAAGAATATTATGTATGGAGTCAACATTATTTTTTTATTCATGTATAGTTAGACTTTGGTATTTGAATTCAATCTATGAAAAATACTATATTATGACATATTATTTATTCTCATATCATATTTTGCTTATTTGTTTAGGAGTGTAGTTAATGTTAAATAACTTTTGTGTTTACCATATTTACTAACATAATTTGTATATGTTTGTGCCATTTAAAAACACCTTATCCCAACGCAATAAGAAATTGTTAAATATTACACTTTTAACAAGTACACTTTATAATCAAGTTGTGCACAATCAATAAACTAGAATTCTATTATGGCATCGAAGCATGCAAATCCACATAAAGATGAGTATGAGAAGAAAAACCATACCACAACCATCTTAAATCTAACATTTTCTTTGAATTCATCAAACAACTCAGGAACACTGTTTGTCGCTGCAATTCTCAACGAAAAGAATTACCGGACATGAGCCAAATTGATAAAAACTACTTTACATGTAAATATGAAGCTTGGATTTATAGATGGTGAAGGTGGAAAAATACATAAAAAGTGGGGTTTGAGTTGTGTTCACTAAACATGTTTCAGCTTCTGAACATAGTTTAGATTTTAAACATTAGTTCAAATTCTAAACGGAGTTTAAAAAAAGTCATATGAAAAATCATAGTTTGAAAAATCATAATGATTAAATAAATAAATGTGATGATTTTACAAAATTGTTTACTATTGATTATTATAGGTTGTCATAATTATATTGTATGATTAATGATTATAAAGTAGTGAAGACAATAATAATTAGAGGTAAAATTGGTAAAATTTAATTAATACTACATTGAAAAAACAAAATGATACTTATTTTAAAATAAATTTTTTAAGTTAAAGAGACTTTAATTTTAATGTTTTAAAATCGGATCAGAGATCGAACCGATGAAACATTCAAGTTAAGGTTTAGTTGGTTGAACCACTTAAACTTACAATCGAACTGTTTATTAATTAAAATAATAATATAAAACTAAGTTTTATAGATATGTTACATACAATCTTATGTTCACAATCTATTAAAATAAATATTCCAACTATCCATTACAAATTTAATATAATAATACAACTTAGTTTTACACTTAATTTCAACCGTTATTTAAGAGTGATTTAAAAAAATTAAAGAATTAACATAAAATAAGTTAAAATAATTCAAACTAAAATTAAAATAATAGAACATAATAACTAAAAGAAAATTTAAATAATTAAGAATACCTAAATTGAATAAGATAGAATTACAAAAATAAACAATACAATATATTTAATTTAACAACAATAAGCAAATTCGAGTTGAACGACGACAAGCAAGAAATTATTTTTTGTAATTCAAGAATGTTTATTGACATACTAATTTTTTTTCTTCATTTTTTTTAATAAAAAAGACTGATTTGATATATTTTTTAATTGGACGGTTTTATAAAACCGACTCTGGTTCTTTGGTTCGAGCGATTTTGAATGGTACAATTTGATTTTTTTCGATTTTATTCTGATTTTGATCCACTAGCAGTTTTAGAAGGTTAACCGGATTGGATCCAGCTCCGGTTTCCGGTCCAACCGGTTAAACCAGTCAGTTCGATCCGATTTTTAAGACATTATTTTATTTTAGAAAAGATAGAGTAATTAAGTTGTGCACAATCAATAGAACTCTATTATTATTAGTAGTTTATTGTTATGTTAATTTTGAATGCAAGGATATTTAACCCCTCAAACTAGGAAGGTTCAACTCTAGTTAAAACTTACTAACCACTTAATCACAAATGAAACACATTTATCACATGTCTTCAAGAATAGAGCATCGAAGGTTTACAATACATTTTTTTTTACATTATTTAATATTCCCTTATAAAGATATTAAAACAATTAAATATTTAAAACGTCTCCGTTGCACAAAGGTTTCTGTTGAGATATTAGATATATTTCAAGTTGAGTTATGTGGTTCAAGTCCAAAATTAATTAGGGTTTATGGTTTGTTACTTTACTTAGTAGACAAGTTAGTTGTTTATAAATACATAATTTGTAATTCAGTTTTATTATCCTTCCATTTAATAATAGAATCCTTATTGCACTAACAAAGTGGTATCTATAGCTCTTGTTAGATTCTTTATCGTGTTTTCAAGAATCACACATCAGAGACCGTGTTTCCAGGACTGTGGATTATTTTTGATCAAGCGTTGCAAAGATGAATGGTAACAGAAATTTACCAAACTCTCTTCCAACTCTTGACGGCAAAAATTGGCTTTAATGAAGAAAACAAATGCAATCTCTATTTGGCTTTCAAGAAATCCTAGAAGTGGTTACTAATGGCGTTCATGCGCTTGGTGAAGATGCAACCGACACACAGATAACCACTAACAAGGATGCCAAGAAGAAGGATTGCAAGGCGGGGTTTTCCATCCAATCGGCGGTTGATGCGGTTAATTTTGACAGAATTGCTCATGTTGAATCGACGAAGGAGGCATGAGATATTCTTGTCAAGTACTATGAAGGAGGCGAAAAAGTCAAGGTTGTCAAGTTGAAAACTTTGCGATGAAAATATGAATTGTTATCGATTGGAGAAGACAAAAAAATTATAGGCTATGTGTCGAATATGAAGAAACTACTCAATCTCATGAAGGGTTATGGTGAAATCCTAACTGATAAGATGATAGTTGAGAAGGTAATGCGTACGCTGACCTCTCACTTTGATCGCGTTATTGTAGCTGTTCAAGAATCTAACAATCTTGAAACCCTAAAACTAGAAGATTTGGTTGGTTCGTTAGAGGCGCATGAGATTAGGATTGTCATAAGGAAATGAGTTCAACACTCGATACAAGCACTATAGGCTCAGTCATGGAAGAAGAGTGGTGGTTCAAACAAGTTCAAAGGAAAAATCGACTAGAATCAGGGAAAGAAGTCTTGGTCGAATCCTCACAAGAATAAGGTTAATAATAGAGCTTCTGAATCCTCGAAAAGAGAAGAAGGAAATTCCTATCAGAAAGAAAAATAAAAGAAAGGTGTGTAGTGCTATAACTGTGAAAAGTGGGATCACTTGGCTAAACATTATTGGTACAATAAAGACAAGGGATCGACAAAAGGCAAGGAGGAAGGAGCAAACCTTGTAAGCCAAGATTCAGATAATTTTGAAGATATAATGGTTATGGCTGCAGTTACAGATGACCATGTTGACTCCAAGATCTGGTTCCTCGACTCGGGCTATTCAAATCACATGTCTGGTTATCATATTTCGACAAGTCAAAGAAGAGCAAGGTCAAATTGCTGATCATAACTCGTTGGAAGCAGAAGGTACTAACGACATAGTTATTAAAAGGAGCAATGGAAGAAAAGTTATGATCATAGATGTAATATATGTTCTTGGAATGAAGTGCAATATGCTAAGTGTTGGGCATCTGGTCGAAAAAGGTTTCTCAGTAATTATGAAAGATGGAGCCTTGGAACTGTTGGACACTTAAAATAATTTGGTCTTGGAATCTATTTTGTCGAAGAATAGGACATTCAATACCATGATCAGCTCAAATGAAGTATAATGTCTAAAAACTGTTGTCGACCACAAGCATAGTTGGTTGTGGCATTTGAGATTTGGACATTTAAACTTTTGATCACTCAATCAACTGATTACTCAAGATATGGTAATTGGTATACCAAGTCTGGAGATGCCCAAAAAACTCTCTGAAGGGTGTCTAGCCAGAAAGTAATCCAGAAATTCTTTCGTTTTGACTATGCCAATGAGATCCTTCTGTATATTCAAAGTTGTACATTCAAATGTATGTGATCCATTTAAGAAGCATGTCATTGGTGGAAATAGGTATTTTGTTTCATTTATTAATGAGTTTAGTCGAAAGTTGTGGATCTATGTGATCAAGAGAAAGGAAGAAGTATTCAAAATATTTAAGAGATTCAAGATGCTTGTCAAAAACCAGAGTGAGAAGAAGATCAAAGTTCTACGAAAAGATGAAGGGGGTGAATACACATCCAAAATGTTTGAAGCATTCTGTGCATAACACGATGTTGATCATGAGGTAACTGCTCCTTATACTCTTTAACTGCTCCTTATACTCTTCAACATAATGGAATAGTAGAAAAATAAACAAGATAATATTGGACATGGCGAGATGCATGCTGAAGTAGAAGATTTTGCCAAAGTTCTTATGGTGTGAAACTATTTCGAATGTTGTTTATATTCTGAACAAGTTCCCTACAAAGAAGTTGAAGAACAAGGTTTGTGAAGAAGTGTGGAGTGACAAAAGATAATTAGTGATTCATCTGAAGGTGTTTGGCTCTATTTTCTACAAGCATGCTTATGATGCAAGAAGAAGGAAGGTTTATGACAAGAGTGAACCTATGATTCTGGTAGGATATCATAAGGCTGGAGCATACATACTATTTAATCCACTGAACTATAAGATCGTGATGATTAGAGGAATTATGATTGATGAGAAATCTGTATGGGATTGGAATTCTGGTGATCTAATTAACAAGCCATTGATGAGCTATGGCATCAATGAAGAAACTGATGAAGTCGAAGTCGAAGTTATTGCTAACAT